TATGGGCATGTTAATTTAAAAATAAATAAATAAATATATATATTAAAAAAAAAAACTTATGAAGCCAAACTGAGACAACTAGGACCAATACTACGACCTTCACAGCAATCATAGGCACACTTTTGAAACTTTTCATCTGCTTGAGTTGATTAAGTGGCATCAGATTGGATTAGCTCTTTTCTTAAAAACTTGAGTGGCCTTGCCAGAATTAATCTACCTAATGGACAACCTGCATAAGAAAATTAAGGATTGGTTGATGAGATCGAGACCATTATGGGAGGACTGTTTATCTCAAAGCAAGTCCTTGCCACTCTTGAACTAATCAATTGAATAATTTTGCTCCAACCAATTTGTTGTCTTCAATCTGCTATAGTTATGAATATTAGAGAATTTTGTTTTATGCTAAAAAAATCCTCATTGACAATAGTACTCTTGATGTCCTCTTCTACTTCCTCCTTTAACATCAACGTTGAAATGGAATAGCTCCAACCATTGTTGGGCCTTTCTATTGCCTTAACATGTGTTTAGGGCGGATCATATGCACCGTCACTTTGTCTATTATTGTCAAAGTTTTGAGAAAAATAGGTTGAATTCTGAATAGGCTCGATCCTTTTCCCATTACTTTCATTCCATTAAATAATAATCTTACAATCTATTGTAGGTACAAAATATTCTGTATAATCTATTTTATATAACTTCATAGTACATATTTCTAATCTAAATATTTAGCTAAAAGGGAAATAAATCAAAATAAAGATATTGAAAATAATTTAAATAAGGAAGCTTCTAATTGTAGAAATCTTCTAATTTAACTATTTGATTTCCGTCCTTCTCGATTGACATTCCCCCCTCAAATTGATTTTGATTGATCAGGAAACATCAATTTGCCAACAAAAAACTGATAATACTGCCATGACCAAAAATCCTCAAGCTGTGAGTGCTGAAGCCGAAGGTGTCGAAACCGAGAATGTCGAAGTCTCAGAGACAACTCTTGAACCATAATATGATTTGAGCAAAGCAAGAAATCTTTTATCATTGTCGTCCAGAAATTCGAATCATAGCCACAAGAAGGATCTGCTTCCAGTTACACGATCCAAATGTTATCGATTATAGCCCATAAATAGAATCCAATTACACGATTTATATGTTATTGATCATAGCCTACAAGTAGGATCCGAGTCCTGATCTAATTGTTACCGATCATAGTTCACAAAGAGAATCTAGTTACACGATCCAGATGCTTTCGATCATATCCTACAAGTAAGATCCGCATCCTGATTCAAATGCTATTGATTCTTCTTGCGACGACGAGGACTATTTTTTCCCTGATCTTCACGTCAAAAGTACTGGCCGATATGTCGAAGCCCTGGGTCTAGAAAGGAGTGTCAAAGCCTTCAATCCATGAGTGTGATGAAGAAGCCGAAGTCGAAGTGGATGAAGCGAAGTGTAAGAAGCAGCGAAAGATGCTGCAGAAGCAGCGATGCCTAGTGAAGAAATCCGAATCGGACGAATGATAATACAAACATAACAGTTCTCTTATCGTTCTCAATTCTTCTTGTGGCTTTTGCTTGAGATTTCCTCTCTGTTTTTTTCACCATGTTCTCTCTCTTAAACCTTAATCGGAAAAGGGTTCTCTCCTGTGATATATTCGGAGGGTTTGGCTGAACCCACCACCAGATCCGAATCGGCTAGGTAGGATGCGAAAGCCTTGCCGCAGATGGAGCACTTGTAATCGAGAGTTGGGGGCGGGGTTTGAGAGAAAGCAGGGGATCCATGACGGGCGAGCATGAGGAGGCAGAGAACGAGGTATTCCTCCTCCGATTGGGAACCACCGAAGACATCTATCTCCTTGTCGAGCTACACATCCGATCTCCTACCCCTCCTAGCTACCCAAGGAAGGCTTCGGGTAGGAGAGGACTAGAGCTCTAAGGCTAGCGCGTGGGAGGAAGTGGTCTTCAGAAGAGCTGGAAAGGTCGGTGGCTGGTCGTTCACCGGCAAGGAGGAGCACCAATCGGCGAGTCCAAGCGCGAGGGAGGGACGTAGTCGTGGTCGAAGATCGAAAGAGGACGACGCAGCCGAAATGAAGGAGGAAGAAACAACCTGGGACTAAGTGGTAGACGGTGAATCAAAGGCGGACAAAGCAGTCGCAGCGGCCGAAAATCCTTAGATGGGCGAATTAAGGCAAAGTAGTTCCTTCCTTCCCGCAATAAGACCGGCGGGAACAGAGCCTTGACGGTCCTCCACTAACTAGCATTGGTTAGGGCAAAATTTTGGCTCTGATACAATTTCTAAGTTTTGAGAAAAAATAAGCTGAATTTTGAATAGGCTCGATCCTTTTTCCTTTTCTTTCATTTCATTAAATAATAATCTTACAATCTATTTTAGGTACAAAATATTCTCTATAATTTATTTTAAGTAACTTAATAATACATATTTCTAATCTAAATATTTAGCTAAAAGGAAAATAAATCAGAATAAAGATGTTGAAAATAAGGAAGCTCCTAATTGTAGAAAACTCCTAATTTAACTGCTTGATTTCCGTCCTTCTCGATTGACAATCATGATAACTTTGCTCAACCATGCTTATTATAAATTTTTGAAGACCAAGCTTGAGTTCATATACATTGCAATCTTTTTTAGATTGCTGAGACTTTTTTAGTGTGATCAGTCATGCCTAATCTGAAGCTCTAGTTTTCTTCTTCAGCCGGTATTCAAGTGGTCAAGGGCAAATAATCGATTGCCTACTCAAACTTTTTTCACAAGTTTAAGCCTCAACTAATATCAAGTGCCAATGCTTTTCTTATGAGAATATTTTCCAATGCCCTTCCTTAGATAAGTCACACATTTTAAGCTTCAAAACACTCAAAACGACTTTCTCCACGTTTCCACAGGAGCCCACTTAAGATTTACTTTTTTCTTTAGTTTAGAATATGGAAGACTTTCGTAGAAGTTATATCACCATATAGTTTATCTTTTTCTTTCATAGAATTTCCATTTTGCATCCCATTTAATTCCCATTTACTAAAGTTATGCTTGCGATTGAGCTTATAAATATATTAAAAACAATTAAATTGTGGAGCTTATTTTTTGGTATACACACATGTGCATGCATAAATAATAAATTGTTTTTATTAAAATACCCTGAGAATAAAAATATGAAATAAATTTTACTTTTATATCAATTGGGTGGTTTTAATCCCTCTTGGGACAGTTTTTCTTTTTTTGACATCTAAATTTATTTTTTTTAATTTGAAAGCCCCAATTGAGCGATTAAGATGTATTTTGAGCCGCTATTGTCAATTTTAGTTCAAATTGATTAGTAATTTCTGGCTTAGTCTTTTGATGTTTTCCTACAGGTGTTCTCCCACATTGTAATTATGCAAAGAAAGAATGCTTGAAACATAAAATGTGTTTAGGCTGACAACCCGAGACATCTGAAGTGGGGGAAACTGTTGGGAGTCATCAAAGGTCTTTTTTGATAAAGATCAAATTTTGACCCGTGCTAAATTGAAAACATAAGAAATATTACAAAGACCAGACAAGTTTAGTATGACAGAGGCTTCATGCTGACTAGAACCCAAGTTGTTAGCGTCAGAATCATGTGAGTCAAACCAAGAAAAATAGACATGAATTTGTTGATTTTTTGACGAACCAACCTTTGCAGGTCTTCCTTGTCCTTTGCAACTTTTGACAGAACATGACATGGGTTTATGGGTATAGATGATTATGCTATCACCGTCACTGTCCTTGAGGATCATGTAGTCCACTAATTCAGGCTCATTACCGAGGGCGTCACTACTATTGATTTAAGTCTCATCTATAGGGAAACACTCCCCTTGATGGAGCAAGATTGTTTATAAAGTAAACCGTGTGCAGCCAAATATATAACAGATTTTTCAAGATGCCTTTATAAGATAACTCACAAATATAATAAATTTCTTGAAGTCTAATTGAAAGATCCAGGCACAACTAAAGTTTGTGAAGTGTGTTTTCTTGGTATTGTAAACATTTTGCTCGACAGCTTGACACATCATTCACGGTTGATGACTATTAGGAATATTTCATATAAAGACTGAAATTTTACTTGCAAAAATTATAAAATGTCTGTCGTTGAACTTTTTGAGAAGATTTTGTAAGCTTTGAAGATCACTCAGATCTTATAAGAATTCATAGTTGCAATCATTGCAACGAAACTTTTGCCACATCCGTCAATTTTATTTTAAAATTCATTGTAGTGGGACTTGTATCGCCGTTGTTAGTGCACAACGAGACACTTTCAGAGTTGGTGCCTACAATACAAGTTTTATGCTACACTATTTTGTTTTTGCCTCAAAAGGCTCCTCCATGAGTTTGCCCATAGTCATCTCCTATGAGACAGCTACGTGGTATTCTGATTCCTAACCTATGTAATTATTGCAAACTTCACCAATAACCTAATCGTTATATTGCTTGCTGCCTTCTCTAATAACGGTGTAGGGATGTAACTTAATTTTATGCTAGCAGAGTATTAAGCAAGGCAAAGCTTTATGATTTTTACCTTTTTTGGTTTTCCAAGTAAAATATTTTCTTTTTTTTTTACTTTGCTTTATTTGGCTCCTAGCTCCTTTTAATCAAAAGACGCTATGAGACCTAATATCATTTCTCACTCTAATGACTCGGTTTCTCTAATGCAATGGTATTTCAAGAATTTGATTACAACTTAATTTAACCCCTAATTGCATTTAATGGTTTTGGTTTATAATGTTAATCCTTCATGGAAGCATAAATGAAACATAGCTAATGCATGAGTCCCTCCAAAGTTTGTAGTTGATCTACACGCACTATGAAAGCAATCTATTCTGATACTGGTTTTTGCTGTATAAATGCTTTTATTTTCAGATTTAAGGTTTTCTGTGGAAAGCGTGATGGTTTCTCTCATTTGCTAGTTTTGAATAAATAAGCATCTTTTCGTTATCTATTTTATTTGTTCTTTAATACGAAATCCACATTAAATTTGACAGGACATTAGAGCACTTTTTCCATCTGATTACAACCCATTCTATGCTGGCTTTGGGAACAGAGACACTGATGAGCTCAGTTATAGAAAAATTGGCATTGCCAAAGGAAAGATATTTATTATCAATCCAAAGGTTTTTCCTCTTCTTGTGTATTTTTACTGCAAAAATTGCCAAAATAGTCTTTTGAGTATTTAAATGTGGTCATGTCAGTCCTAGAGTCTCTGGAAGTGCCAAATTAGTTCCACGAGTTTTTCAATATTAGGATGAAATAGTCACCAAGGACTATTTTAGTTCCCTTTAAAAAAGTTTATGGACTAAATTGACATTTTTTGTAGAGGACTATTTTAACACTTGTCTCTATTGTGAAATGCTATCCATCTAATATGTATCTTGAAAACTGACAGGGTGAAGTTGCGATTAATAACTGCATTGATGTGAAATCCTATACTTCCTTGCATACCTTGGTCAATGACATGTTCCCCCCAACCTCACTGGTAGAGCAGGTTTGTATTTTAAGCTTGATTTGGTTGTATAGTTCTGCATTTACCAAATAAATATTTGATGTTGTTTGAAGTTCTATTTGCTATTCGGTTCAGTTTAATTTGGATATTGTTTTTATTGATTAATGAGGTTTGTGTTGTCAAAAAAATGAAATATGTGGAAATACTGAGAGCAAAAAAATAGAAAACAAAATGGGAAGTGTCAAAATTGTCCACTTTCTCTTTGGATGGTCATATTGGTCTTAGAGTCTATAAAAGTGTCAATTTAGTCTTCAAACTCTTTTAATACAGCCAATTTATAAAGTATGGGGACTATTTTGATACTTTTATAGACTCTAGGATTAAAATGGCCCAATGTAAACAGTTGGGGGACCATTTTGACACTTTTTTTGAAATAGAAGAGAAGATGAGCATGAGAATTTATATAAATTTACCCAATTGATGGTTACAACTTTTTCTCATTGCTTTAAATCACACTATTCATTGTGTAGAATACACGCCTTACATTTTCATATTGATACATACATAAGAGAACACTTCCCTTCGTATAAACAAAAATCTTGAGGCAGTGGAAATAAAAAATTAAAAAAAAAAACACCCAAATTTCTCTTAATGAAATAACCTCTATTATTGAATTCCTTTTGAGGGTGAATCCGCCGAAACCTAGTTAGAGGAGCTCCCAAGATAGACTTATGACTAAATTTGCGTAGCATGTTTTACTCATACAGCAAAAATTAGGCTTTAAAACTTAACAGTGTTATCTCAGGTCCACTTTTTTTCATTTCTTTTATGTATCCAAGATAATGATTTTTTTGAGATTTTTTGTCTCTTGTTCAGGAAGATTTCAACTCATGGAATTATTGGAAGATGCCATTGCCCAGAATTGACGCCTGACATTTTATATCCTACCTAATCATTATACGGCTTAAATCTCTCTCTATCCAGGAAGCTGTGTGATCTTACGGCTGTAGGGTTCTACCACTGCCATTATTATACTCTCCTTGAGAGCTTCCGCTTGTTTATTAATTCTTCCATTCAAATGATTCATTACAGCTAGGGATTTACTTGGCAGAAGAATGTATTTCTTCCTCCTTATAAAGGAGTAAGACTTGAATTTAGAGGACAATTACCTTGCAGATTATTCTCTGGTGGTAACGCACATGCAGCATAATTGAGAATAGAGCTTCCACCTGATATAATATTTCTACTTAATCCTCTGTGTACAAATAATTCTGTGATTTTATGTTGATTTATGGGAAAGAGGAATCATGGGGACCACAAACCAGAGGCTGACTTCACTCTGTTTTTATTTTATTTTTTCATCTTTGTTAACATTTTGCTGTACGTGTTCATCTCTTGTAAGTGTATATGGAACAATTATGCAATGTAAATTGGAGTTGCAGAGTTTTTTTGTTCTCATTGATCAACTCTATCTTGCAGAGTTGGGATTAAACTAAACGATGTTCCAAAAAGCTACCCATTGTTTCTTATGAGATTCTGTGCCACTTCATGTGTAGTTTTAAGATTTACATAATACTTGTGTATTTAAATATCTTACACCTAAACCTCAATTTTTATATCTTATGGAAGATGTATTTCACTTTTTAAAAGTTAAAATAGCAGTATTTTTATATATTTATATAACTAATACTTATAAGTATAATATTTACTTGTTGGGAAGTTTTAGAAATTCATTCACTTCAAAATACATGATTGAAATGGTGTATTTCCTTGTAGAAAAGTTAATAAAAAGGTGTTTTTTATTTATTTCTTTTCATACTTCATTCCTTTAGGATTGTTCATGATAGGATAAACCTAAATTCTTATCAGTTAGAAAGTTTCCATCTTATTGATCTTATAAAATCTAAAAGAAATTTAAAATTCAAAAAAATGGTCAATCCTCGAAAATACCAAGTTTACTAGTAAGTCTTGAAATATATTGTTTCTTTTAAAATCTCGAAAGAGGCATTGAACTCACTTGAATTGATACTTCAAATCTTCAAAATTAAAAAATGTCTTCTCCCAAGTTAATCTTCTTATTTGTTGATGGACTAAACCTTGCTTTGCCTTAAGGATCAATGATCAAGTTTGGAGTTAGTTTTGGACAAATGGGTGTGAATCTCTTAAGCTAGATGCAGAAGTTGGTAGTTTTAAGTTGAAATTGATCTGAGGTCAAATAAAAAAATTCCTTCATTGAAGAGGGTCCTGGGTGAGAAAATGGCAATTGCCATCATTAATTTTGTCGTCAAGTTCACAGTAAGGCCCGCTATCATGTTTAAAACTTTTTTAGCTATAAATAAGTCTGTAATAATTGTTGCCACTAGTTATTAACATGAGTGAATTTTATGTCATTTTCCCTGTCATTT